CAGAATTTGTGGGGCGCGACATCTCGAGCGTCCTTAAACATTCCTTGACACTTTGGTATTCACCGCGATTCCTCACATGCAAACCGCTGTTTTCAGAACCGCGGTTATTATCGAGTGCACCGCGGCTTAAAAAACCGTTAACAACCGCTATATTCAGAACCACGGTTGTTACCGAGTACACCGCGGTTGGGAAAACCGTTAATAACCGCTATATTCAGAACCGCGGTTTGGAAAACCGTTAATAACCGCTTTATTCTGAACAGCGGTTATGATCGAGTACACCGCGGTTTTGTTTAATTTTTTTTCCGTGGGTACCTACCATAAAAATATTCTTGAGGGTGTGGGTGTGCTTGTGGCTGGGCGTGGCTGAAGACAAATAGTTCAATCCAACACCAATACTCATACCCCGAGCACCCACACCCTATACAGCCGATACGTATATATTATACGAAGAATGGATAAAACGTTTGTAGGTTGTGTTATCGTCATTATATATTAGTGAGTTAATGTAATTGCACAATGTCATGTAAAATTCAATATAAAGTTATCCTATACGCAATGTACTTTTGCAGTTTTTCTGCAGAAGTAAATTCCGTCAAAATGATAGTGTCTCTTTATATTATTGTGTAGTTATATATTAACTTTCGCTGCTGTAAAATACAAGAAATTTATATTTGACAAGTCGCTTTTATACATATAGTAATATTACTCTCATTAAATATTAGTACCGAATATGTTTACTTCAAAAATGAAATAAACTCAAATGATGAAAATAGGCTACTCACGCTCAAAATATAATTTCAGCGTTCGATGATGTTTTTGGTTTGATCAATACTTCAGTAGATTTCATACGAATTTTGGGTGACACTTCTGCGTTTTATTCAAATGACGTTTCTTCTAAAATTTAACTGTTTTTTGACGTTATTTTTGATTATTACTTTTTAGTAAGCATCGCACATGGCGAGATAAGAACGGTTTCGACTAGCCAACGAAATTGCATAGCAGTAGGAAGAAAAACAAGATAGAAATATTGCAACAAGATTCATGAGTAAAATTACTAAAAACGTTATCAGCATCCTTTCGATTTCTGTTAGTGTGTGGGTGTGGGCTGAATTATAAATAGCACACCCGCACCCAGAAATAAATTGAAAAGTTAGAATCCTACAAGGTAGTTTTTTCACACGCTATAGCTACGGTAAGTCTTTAAATGAAGTTAAACATAAATTAAAAATTTTGGCATAGAAATAACAGAAATTATAATTATTATATAACTATATATTATCATATCAATGTGTTTATTTATATTTAAGAATTTAATATCACCTATGTTTAACCTCTAGGTGTAATAAATATCATACTCCTTCACTCAACAGCTATCTAATATATAAACGTGAAAAAAATACACCTACATATATTAATCATTATTTGTCATCTATTATGTCTTTACATCTTTTACAAAAAATGTTTCTTATTCTTTCTCTTTGTAATATTCCTGATGATGGTGAGAGTTCTTGCCGAAAGCTCGAAATAAAATAAAATAAAGTTTGGATTTTGTTAAAATTCTCATGTATTTTGTGGTAGTTATATATTCAATATTATCTTCAATTGTTTCTACTGCTCATTCGGATGGTTATATGTATAGTATCCTGTTCTTCATGTTGGTGCTGATTGGCGTGGAATGAAGCTGTGTGTTTCATGTCGTGAGGTGTAAATTTATATACTAGTGTCGATTTCACGTTGTAATAGGATCTTGATGTGTTGTGGTGTACTCAATGGATATGTAGAGCGATATATTGATGACTATGATTGTTTATTTGAGCATAAAAGTGCAAATGCAGACGTACCCAAGAAAGTTGTCATTTCTTTATCATCAGCCACAACGCACGGTAAGTTTCTCAAGTCAACGGAATTCGCTGAGCTACTGACATTCTGAAGGTTCCATGAGTTGACTGGATCACGTAGTCCGGGATTCCTTTAATCCTTCTTTATTAATTTTTGAGTTCTGAATCCATAGATGCTTCAGAATTCACGGAATTCGGTCATTTTGTCTTTACGAACAGCAGCAGTAATAGTCAAATACATTTAATAAGTGAAACTTTTACAGATGCGACGTATTTTATATTTTCTCAGTGATTTTTTTTCAAAGTGATTTTTTTTCAAAGTGACCATTTTTGGAACATCAATGTTAATATAATAGAAATTATTTATCATGAATAATGGGAAATTTCCTGCCAATCGTATATAGATTATTGAGAAGAATAGTTTTGTCAAAAAAAAACGATCCGGCCTAGAAGTATTGCACATAATATAAAATAAATTTCGCGCGAAAGGATTCGACTGAGAAGATGAATAATGTTAGCTGAACATAAGCCATCGAACTGATGGAATTAATATTTTTTTTTGATTAATAGCGAAATATCAAATTGATTTGTAAATAACTAAAAGTAATGATTTCTTGCATCGTATTGACGATGTGTGGGTGAATGGAATCCATATTCACCCACAGTCTCAAGATGAATCATTAAAAACAAACAAAGAATTGCGATGTTTTAGATGTGTTCATTCCATAGGTGTATAAATAAATAAATTTTTCATTGTTGTTGGTTGTATTATCGTAGATTTTTGTTTTCTATTTCACCTTATCACTCTGTTGTTATGTTGTTTCTTGTATTGATAACTTTGTTTTTGTTTTTCGGTAATTGCAGTATTTTGCATTCAATAATGAGCTTTTATTTGTTTTGCTCGTTTCTAAAGATTCATCATTTGTGATTCTATAATTATTCATTTGTTTTCTTATTTCAACTTTGGTGATGTTATGTTATTTATGAAGAAAAAAAAGCCATGGACCCGTTTTCTTCTGACAAGTAGGAGAATTTTTATTCAAATGTATGGTGAGTATGGACAAAGAAAAATTCTGCGTAGATACTTTATGTACCTTGTATTGCAATAAAGTCGACGAAGTTCAATTACGTTAGAGAAGTCTTCATTATTGCTGATATACATATTTTAATATGAACGTGACTCCATGTTGGAAAATTCTTGTCTGAATTTTAGTTCATCTAATATTCAATCATGGGCTGCTGTTAGTCGCGAGGATCAGTCACACCAGACAGAGATAAACAGAAATCACCAGAACAACTACTAATATGGCCTCTACCAGAGAAAGAACAGCAAAATCCTTTCGTAGCAAACCAATATATAGACAAACAACGATACTCGCTCGCTCTAAGTCAGTATCAAAAAGTAAGTTGATATTTTACTTTGCTTACTCGTTTTCCCTATATAATTATTCACAGTTGACTAACTATCTAATTTCAGTCATAATAAAAATGGATCTATAACAGACAAACGAATGAGAATATTCGAAAATCTTGACTAGAGAAAAACTCGATACTAGGATTTCATGAAGTTAGTCTTTTTTTTCTAATCACTTGACAGCACGGATGCAAAATAGAATTTTCTTGATAATTATTCTCATTTTTTAGCATTTGTGTGACAAATCAATCGAATGTTTTTAACACTGGAAAAATCTCTTAATTCTATTTGCAGCATGTACCAAAAGATCTACGATCAACAAGAGTAACCTCAATGAAATTACCTAATCGACAGAAAAGAAAGAATTTCGAATCTAACCCGGAGAAAATTGGATCTAATATTTCCGATCTAGTACGTGTTCAAATGACAATGAAAGCTAAAATGAATCTACAGACTGGTATCTCTACCGGGGTCGAAACAGTTAGATTACCGGATAAGTTGAATGTGGCTCACGTGCTGTTCAATGAAAGTATTCAACAGCGACTCGAACAAGTATCCAAAGAAGCCGAACGTGTACTTGGACTGATTATCGAGGATTTAGAAGATGAACAAGATCGACTATTAGATTATACACAAGAAATACAATCCGGATACGAACGACAATATCGTGAATGGTTACAGAAATATATCATCGAACTCGATCAATGGAAATCAATCGAATTGAGTAGGCTTCATGAGAAATTACAAAAGTACGAAAGAGACATGAACTATGTGTTTCAAGAAAAGCTTGAGCTTCTCAATCGAGAAGTTGAAACTGCAAAATCTAGAATTCTTCGTGAAGAACAGGAGAAAGGATCGAAAGAAACTAAAAGTATCATTTCTAACATAGAAGAAATTTCACGACAAAACAAAATGCAGAACATTGAAATGGAAGAAGATACCGATATTCATTTAAAGTTACAAGCAAATACCAGAAATAAAGTCATGGGAGAGAATTCGATCAACAATTATCCTTATTTAGACATTTGGTCATGATTGAAATTTTGTCGTACTCGTGAACAGCGAATAAAACTGAGACTAGGAAAATCTATTCTTTCATTTGTTTGTCTATAGCGGAATACAGATTTGCATCGAGAAAGTGTTAAACTGTAAGACTTAACAAATCAGATCAATAAACAGCATTAATTCTAATTTAAACTAATCCCAACCTTGATGATCAAAGCTTTTTTTGTTTGAATAATTCTGATATTTTCTCAATAACCATTTATATGTCTTTTTTAATGAAGAAAACAATCAACGAAATAAAAGAGCAAGCGCAGAAAGCTGCAAAACGAAAAAAAAACAATAATTTCAGAACAATATCATGGTTTAATAGACCTATATAATAATGATCCTGTTTTAAAAGAAAAAAAAAATGAAACGAAGATAATAAAAGAAATATAATAATCAATTGAACACCTTGACATGCCCATATGATCATTCTCACGTTTTTTTCCACTAAACACGCCATTAAATATGATAAATGGTTTGTTTAAAAATAAAACAAAAACTCCCCCATCAAACAAAACAAAATAACCAAGTTCATGCGCATACAAGAAATGTTTAACAAGACACGGTATAGGACATCGACAAGTTTTAAACTAATAGTTCGTGATCAATGCAGAAAAGAAGAAGAAGACAAGACAATATCGTTTAACCAACATATGGTATATACACATAATCAGAAGAGAAGAAAATTAAGAATATTGCATAATGATTACCGAAAGCTCATCCTTATACTGTGCGTTTCACTCATAATTTCATCATACGTTCTAATAAATATGTAACTCACAACAAACCCCAATAATAATTAAGAAGATGAAATATTTAGCAGATAAACAATGTGTTAAAGGCAGGCAAGTTGAGCAAACAAAAACAGACGGTTACATAAATAATGCAAAAAAAAAGAGAAAAAGGAAGAAGGGAAATCACAGTTATTCCACGTGACATGTAAGACAAGACACTTTTCAATATTTTCTTCTTATTTATTTCGTTTTTGAGGACCCCAAATGATTGGTATTGAATTCACTGTTGTTTCGTGTATTTTTGATGAATTTTCATCAGTCGATAATGTTACACCGTTGGCAAACGACGGAAATTCACCTAAATAGAAAATTTCAATATAAATGACCATTATGAAAATCTCGAATTATAAATCAATCGTAACAATAACTGATATAAAAGAATTGCTTACCTAAATCATCTTTATTTGGCGTACGATGTCCTTTTCTCGATGAATTTCTACGTTCCTTGACAACAGTTTCCTGTTGATCTTCATATCCATTGTGTTCTGATGCTGCCCATGGTGCATTTTTAACTTTAAAGGCAGTTTGTTTATCATTATTTTTTGTTGACTTATTCGTATTTGAATTGTTCGCCGATGGCACTTCTTGCTGTCGTTGTTGAACATTTGATGACTGCTGTCCTGATCGTGTATCATTTTGTGTTTTATTTTTGTATGGTAAATCTTCAAGAAAATCTTCTTCTAAGATCGATAAATGATCAATACAAGCATCGATATTCTCCTGATTTGTACCAATAACATGTACTTTATTACTCCTATTATCACTTGGAAATTTTATATCAACATTATATTCTTTTACAATCTGCTGTAATTTTTGTCCACCTGTACCAATAATACGTGCATGCACACGATGGTCAATATCCATTTCCATTGTTATCGTTGATTGAAAATCTCCTATTAATTTCAGTATTTCATCTCGACATTTTAATGCTTTATCTTCATAGCCCCTTATTAAAACTTCAACTTCACTAGATGTTGATTCGGTTGTTAACGACGGATTATCAACTGGTATTGCTTGTTGATCATCATGTTGTTGTTCACCATTCGTCATTGGCGGTGGTACTGGTACAACAGCTGATGGTGGTACTTGATTATTTAAGATTTGTATATTAACATCGTATTTTTGTTTTAAATCATTAATTCTACGTCGACGATTGCCAATAATTATCGAGCGAAATTCCGATTTAATTGTAAATCGTGTTTCAAATGATCGTGCTTGTTTGTCAGCAAGATATTTTTCATAGCGTTCGAGTAATTCTTTTTTAAACCCTTCAACTTGTTCGGCTTGACCTTTCAAATGTATATTATTCGATGATGAATTCGATGATGGAAATGTTATTTTTACATCCGGATATTTTTCTACTAATGTTTGTATTTGACTACCACCTGTACCACGTAAATGACCATGAGCTTCAAATGTAATATCAACTGTTGTTTCAATTGGTATCATTTTTTCTAAGGCAACTACAGCTTGTTCAATGTCATCCGTACGACCAATAATACGAACAATATCATCGTTCGGTGAATCTTGTTCGTTATTACGTGGTGGAAATTTAATTTGAACGTTAAATTGTTTTTGTATTGGTTGAATATAGAAGCCACCTTGCGCAAGTAAATAGCCATGATGACGATGTGGAATTGATATTTCTTTAGTTGTCGTATTTTCCCAAGTGTCAATTAATTCTTCTAAACATTTTCTTACTTGTTCGACGGCTTGTTTTGTACCACGTAATAAGATTTGATCGCTATTGATATTACGTTCAGGAAACTTAATTAACGCATCGCCAGATTTTTTTTGTAAATTATTTAATAATTTACGTTTATTCATAAAAAATCGATTATGCCATTTTGGATCTATGGTTATGTGTTGTTCAATGGAATTTTCTAATGAGACTCTTAATTGATTTAAATGTTCATCGAGGATTTTTCGTCCTTTATCAACATCAATGCGTTTACCACTCAAACGAATGTGAAGAAATTCTTCGCTATCATCTACAGCCGGAACATCAATACGAACATCAGGCATTTGTTCACGTAAACGTTGAATATTTGCACCACTTTTTCCTATTAACAATGGATAGAAACGTTTCGATAGTTCGATTTCCGTTGAATAGAGATCTTTGATTTTTTGTTGTAAAAATTTTGAGCATTTTTCAACATCCTCTTTGTCACCATGTAAAATAACTTTATCGCTTTTGCCATTGGCTTCGGGAAATGTTATTTGTATATTGTGAAATTTTGAACGAACTTCTTCTAATTTTTTACCTTTGGCACCTATGATTTGCGGATAATATTGAGGATCAATGCTCACACCAGTTGTACGTTCATTGGACTAGATGGAAAACAAAAACTGTAAAATCAAATGGTGAAAAGAAAATTCTTACCAATTTTTGTACTCGTTCCAGTAGGACTTGTCGCGCTTTATCAACACTTTCTTTCGTACCCATTAATTTAACAACACGACTTTCATCAAAAGGAAATTTAATATCGCATCCTGTTTGTTCTTGCATTTCCGTTAGACGTATTTGATTTTTTCCTATTAATTGTTTATAATAATTTGGGTCGATGTCCATTTCTAAGTATGTCGTATTATTGTTTCGTAAATCATCAATAACCGTTTGAATTTGACCACGAACTAGTTCAACTTCTTCTGGCGGACCTTCGACAGCAATATGATCATCACGAAAAAAGATGCGAACATCTGGATGAGATTTTTTAATTATGTCAAGATTGCCACTACGTTCACCTTTGACGACACTATGCATCCAATGTGGCGCATTGATTCGAACCGCAGTTAAAGCATTGGCCTTTTAAAATAAATCAAATTTATCTAGGGCTTCCTAAGGTAAAAATCAATTTACCATTTTATAAATCATGGTAATTGCTTCACCGATTCTTGATGTTTCACCAATAACTTGAATAATTGGCAAATTTTCTTCTTGATTTGGAATGCGAACAACAACATTGGTTTTATCGAAGATTTCTTTTAAGCCGGCACCTTTTTTTCCTAATATAAAACGATGTTGTTCACATGGTATTTCAAGTGGAAACGTCATGATTTTTCCTTCCTGCAATAAAAAAAAGTATAAACTCAATATTTTCAAAGCCGTGTCGATAAACAAAGTTTTGACTACGTCAAACCTACGAATTCATTTTAAAAAATTCCTTAGACATACTCATAACATGTTCTCCTACAGATCGAATATTTACTTTAATTGTACGCATGGTGCTTCACATTTTTCAAGTTTCCTGCGAGATTTTAATTAATTTCTTAGCCATATTTATGCATTCTACAGTCTTCGCTGTATTTTCAAACTAATAGAAAGAAGTATTTTTGCAACAGTTTTTACATGCAGTCTCAATACTGTCCCACAAGGAATTCGTGCTATAATTCAAATCAAATCTCTCGCGACAGCAGATGATTTTGGTTTTAGGTTAAAAACTCTCAATGAAATTTCCTTACCAAACTTTGAAAAAATTGCATAATTGTTGTTTTCGCCTTTTCCACGGGTTCACGTTCACCACGTATAGATATTTCATCAGTTTGTTTAATTAGCGGTGGTAAATCAATAGTAACATTCAATTGACGACGTAATTCTTCGACAAGCTGATGACGAATCCATGGATGATATAGATATGGTATTGATAGACGTTCATAACCTTTATTTTCTTGTATATGATATAATTCGAGAATTTTTTGTTCACATAATTTAACATTATCTTTAGCACCTGAAATAACTATTCCATCCGATTGACTTTCTTGTCGTGGTACAGCAATACGCGTTAATGTTTCTTGTTCTAAATGTTTTAATGTTGCACCTCGTGGACCAATAATAAAACGATGAAAATCTAATGGAATATTAACTGCAATTTTAACTGGTTTTTGCAGTTCGCGAAGAATTTGTACTTGTGCTGAGCGAACTTGTTCGGGTCGACCGGTTATAGTGACTATTAATGTTTCATCTTTATGAAAAAATGTTATGTTGGTAGCTAAATAAAAAATTGAATTCGTTCATATGAAAACAATAAAAAGAATGAGATTTTACATGTTTCTTTTTGAATTCTGATACACAGTTTTTGTAATGGTGGTCCATTATTAACCGATAGATTACTACCAATGCCATTACGTGTTGACTGATTACCACCACCACGTCGAGGATTATCCGTAATACGCTCTTCCGGAGGAATTTCAATCTATAGAAGAAATACATCTCATCGTTGTTTTTTCTTGTCTTGTTCAAAACTGAAATAGCTTACGATTTTAGTTGTAGCTGATTTTTCATGAATGGCTATTTGCCGTCGTCGATCCTCATCGATTCTCGACGAAGTATATAATGCTGCTGTTGTATTACCTAAAGATCCATTTAGTGATGATGCAAATGATGACGACGAAAAAAATGTACTCGAACGAGTCAAGTCCAATGAATTCGCAGATTTCAAATGTGGGAATTCTTCATTATAATCAGGTGCATCATCGATATCATTTACATTTGATGTTGCACCCGAATTCATACCAACTGTCTTAGTTAAACCATTTTCGCGTAAAAAGTTATCATCGGTTAGTACATCCATGGTCAAATAAGTACCTACAACAAATTGAATAAATAATACAAGAAAACAAATGCAACCTCGATGTTCTTTTAATAAAATATTCCGAAAAAGCGAAGAAAAATAAAATACTCTATTAAAAAAAACCCACAAAAATGTTTATGTTCATTCAGTTAAAAAAAGATTGTTTTTCTCTTTATTCAATAAAACGACTGTGAAAGGACGACATAATGGTAATAAATAAAAAAACGAGAAACCGAGAGCGATCGAAAAAACAAAGAAATAATAAGTACCGAATAACATCTGTTCACAATATGCAAAAAGAAATTAAAAAGAAACTTTTTCTATTTTCGTCCTTGCGAACTAATTTCGGTGGAGAAAATGTGAATCGTCTGTCTGTTTAGTTAAAAAAGTTTAAAATTTCGGCAAGATCGGAGGAAATTATTTTTAAAACGAAAGAAAAATACTAAACAATATGACAACGTGTCAAAGTCAAATGTTTGATGAAATACGTTCTAATGTGGATTTCATTCGGCAAATGAGACTAAGTGATTTTAAGACTAAATTTAATGGATAAAACTTACGAAGTTTGAGTGGTATTCGTAAAAAAGTGTAAGAATCACGAAAAGTTTTTTCTATGATCTAAGGTAAATAAAATCTCTTTTTTACGTAAAAGACCTTTAAATAACTAAAAATACTTCATTTATATCCTATTTTTATTTGGATTTCATCTTCAGAGAAAAACTTGAGCAATCATGTCTCGTGATGATGAAAAGAAAAGGGCATTTCGTCACTGTACTATCACACATATTGACTGTCAATTTTCCAATTAAGATAAGTGTCCAGAACATGCAACTGTATATATTAATAAAAATTAATTTTTGTCCGTATTAATATAATTATTTTATTTACTGTAGCATATTCAAACACAGATATATCGACGATAAGGAATCTTTAGGCGAAAAGCAGAGTGCGCATAATACACGTACTAGAATTTCTAGCGAATGACGTCACAGACGTTAAGAACGGAAAATGATAAATAGATATCAGCGGAATATGAAATTTAGATTTATTCATTTTTTAATGTTTGTATTCGTTTTAAAACTTTCTTTATTATTAAATTCGTAACAATTTGTGTCATAATGGTATACTAGTTAAATTATTTATGCAGATGAAGAAAAAAAAGAGGCAAGTGAAATCTTTCTATTGGACGCTGAATTACCAATGAAAGATGAGAAAAAATATGAACCATGTGTTACGCTTAAAAATTTTCTTTTTTTTTACTATTTTAGATTCAAAAAAAAAGATAAATATTTATTTAGATTTTAAGAAATAATCAATGATTTTATTCGCTAAGTAAACAGCAGAACTATTTTTAACTAAAATAACATCGAGTAAAACTCAGGCTAAACTAAATCAAAGAAAATAGGAATGAATAATGTTATCGTTTCACGATAATTCATGTACAGCCAGTTCCGCCCAGAAAAGTCACTAAATAGAAGGTTTTATCCATGTGTTCTTTTTTTCAAATTTTCAGCCCCGAGAAACGTCTCATGGTCGCAAGAGTATCTTGAAAAGTTCAGCACATACGATGAATGTTTTCTGCTTGAAATATCGAGTATCCAACGGCATGTTTATATGTTACAAGGCAAGCCATTGAATTGAATTACGTTTGACATCCGATATCTCAAGCGACGGAAATAAAATAATTGGTTTTATATACGAAAATGAAAATCCTGTTTTTTCATTCTATTAAAAACAGTCTATTTTCTAGATACATTTTTTTTTATCTATATGGCACTTAATATATTTTCCATTAATAATATTTGGTCTCGAAATAAGCAACCGTATGGTAAAATCGGCGAGGTACGTGATCACTATTTTAAAATGCTGAGCATTCTCACAGCTAACTATTTGAATTGTTCAGAGATAATCATTGAATGTTTTTTTATTCTCATAGAAAATGAAATTTGAGAGCTAGAAATTATTCTATTTAGCCTAAAGTCATTTTCTACTATTAGATTGAATGTATCGATACAAATAATGAATCAACACCATCAGCAGCGAACCCATTTGCCATGCGCACCAATGATTTATATATTGGCACAATTGATGGGTAAGTTTTTATTATTGCCTTATTGAACATATAAGTGAGAGAGAAAGAAAATGTCGACTCGATTAAATGCCACTATCGTTCATTTGCTTTTCTTGCCCAGCAGCAATGAGTGGCATTCAATTGTATTTCGAGGTCACATAGATCACATTTTTTCTATGTTGATCATGCTCAAATACAATATCTCAATAAGTATAAACACTAGATCATGGTTAATTGACTTATTGGCTGTAGATAAATAGCTTGTGTTGTCATTGACGTAACTTTTATTTATCCTTGGTTTTCATTTATTTTTATGGAAAAACCTATTCTTAATAACGCAAGGGATTTGATACTCTCATTCGATTTGGACTTTGTTAATCGACGTGCGTGCATTTACATTGAACAAAAAAGAAAATGAATCGTTTGTCCCTGAAGAATTACGGTACCATATATGAGTTTTTTTCTTCGTCTGTAATACTTGCCCGTATTAATCACTCGTCGTGTGTATGTGTATTACGGGGAAAAGCCTCTTTTTTTCTCCAAAGAGAAATATCCAATAGGCAGTCTAACACTTGTGCACGGCTTGTCAGCTCTTCTTCTTCTTCGTTTTTTTTATGAAGATAAATTATGGATATGCTGCGACGATGTCATCGAATGGTATCTTATAGGATTCTTCGTGTATTCCCTTTCGATCATGGAATACGATAGATAGGCGATGAGACATGTCAGTAATAGATCAATAGATCCAATGTCTGTATGGAATACTTTAGCACTATCACCATGTGCTGAATATCGGTACAGATTATATAAGTATATCGGAATGTACACTATTCAATAAAAAGAATTATGGCTAACTGGTTTTAATTGTGATCATTATATTCTTTTACTTATGCATGCATACAATATAATGGGCGTGCAGTTCGGTAATTTCTATGTTGAACAACAAGAGTGCCTTATAAAAATGCACCTTTGAAAACAATGACATACTCGTCAAAAAAAAAGGAAGAAAAAAGATGCTTTAACGCTTCAGTTTGATTATTTGAATAGAAAAGAAATAATGCAAATAGAAGATGTCGGAGCATCCTTGGAAAAATAGCGGAAAGAAAGAGAGCGAAACAAATTGAACTGTCACACGATTGCCTGATGTCCGTGATTAGAACTGTTTTTCTTTTCTCCATCTTTCATTTTCTTCTTTTTCGTGCTATTCACGATCAAATTAGAATCCATACAAGATATTAATGACATTGTCATGCAAATCATAATTCTGCTTGTTGGATGCGAAATGTCTATTGGTTATCACAGAGAAAAAGAACACAGATATATGTCTTATTTTTTTATGAAAGATGCAATAGTCAACATCTTGTTCATAAGAGCAGGAAATAATCTGACAATTTAGAGTGAGATCAAAAGACACTCAACTTTTTTTTATGAATGTGTGTCACTGAGAGTTAATTACAATGAATGAATAGGAAAAGAACGATAGTGATCGATTAATTGGCCTGGCATGAGTCTCTATTTGGGGTAAAAATGATGTTTTCCAAACGGATCTGCTGTCGTGCTGTGATGTAATATAATGCGTCCGCCTTTTTCTTCTCTTGTTAAACAGTATACATTCGAAGAATTGATAAAGTAATGGTCGCCTTTGGTCATACATTTATCATAATCAGTAGTTAACATCAAGCAAAATTCTCTCTCTCTCTCTCTCTCTCTCTCGTTAACAGTAGTGAGCGGAGGGGTGGACATTTCTTTTTTTTGTTTGCTCTTTGTTTCCCTTTTCTATTGCTTGAACAGAGGACAAAGAAAGAAAAAGAGAAAAAAAAGAGAGAACAGGCAACAGAGAGAGAGAAAACAGGTTCTATCATATTTCTTCTTCTCCATCATCATTGTCTCGTCTCGTTTTCTCTTGGCATGCTGTGCACTACAGAGTGATAGTAATGTAAATTACGGTTTTCTTCCTGTATATAAATACAATCGTCGTTGTGGTATTGATTGAATATTACATGATTATCAATCGAACTTTAAATTTAATTGAATTCATTGTCATATTGACGATGTCGACATGCATTCGATCTCAACATCAATCGTCAAATCAATTATATCAAATTGTCACCGGACTAAAACAATTTCATTCTCAGTTGTGCCAATTTAAATTCGAAAATTGTATTCAAGATTCCTCCTATGCTGATCAATTAGATACCGATTGTAACATATATTCGCGTTTACGCGATTGTTTTCGTTCATTACTCGATGATTCTCAATGTCTATCCGCACAACTTAAAGATCAGTATACAAAAGCGAAACAAAATGAATATCAAGCGTGTGGCGTTGCTTCATCGTATGAATCTGTTCGTTCATCAAGGTATACTTCCTCATCAACCAAATTGCAAACAACCTGTCTGACAACATTCATTCTATTCATCGTAGCTAGTTCTTGATCATTTATTTGGAAAAATTCCTATCTACATCATCCGGTGATTTCATGGTCGAATGCATTTTGTTTTTCTCTCTCTCTCTTGAAACTTACGTCGTTATTCTCTTATTGAATCTATGAACATAAAAAGATATTAGCCAATACTAAAACAAACCAGTTCTTGTATTAACACAGGAAGTTTTATATTTAGTTCTATAAATTGATTATTATTTTTTCTTTCTTTTACTCAATGTTGATGATGTCTCGTTGTTATTTGCATAAAGAAATAAAACTCTTTTCGCAGACAAAATATACAGTTGTAATCGTCTCGTTTTGAAGTGAATGTTATTGTACATTTAGCCTCGAGGAGGATTTTGCTGATCAAATATGATACTGTCGAAGAATAATGTGATAAGTGGGCACTTATGTCAAAGTTATATATATATATATTCGAGACACCTGCTACAGTTAATCAAATAATAGAAAGAAAGAATTTTATGTAACTTCTATTTTTTTTTTTATTTTATTTAATTTTAGCATTGTTCACAAATTTCGCATACGGGATAAAGCATCTGATGAATCAGCGTCTACTGAGACAAAAGGATATGAATGTCTTTGCATCGGAAGTCAAAATCTTGGAACAGTAAATGAATGCTAAGAAAAAATTAATTTTCTACTTTTTCTTTGTAGCGTAAATCAATAGTAAAAATAAAAGTTGTGAGAATACCTCTTCATCGTGTATTTACATTGAGTGATAATTTAATTCAAATACTTGATAGTGATAATTTACAAGTGAGAAATAGCAATTCATAGATTTCCATGGAACTTTTTATCTTTTGATTTAGCCAATTCCTAATTTAAAAATAAAAAATGTTCTAACATTTGGTGTATCTAATGCGACTGATCAATGTCAAGGAGGATATGTTGATGTAAGGAAAACTTATAGAATCACTCTCTCTTGAAAATAAAAGGTTGTTTCTTTTATGAATTTAGATATGTGTATCAACAAAACGAAATAAAATACAAATCTATCGACTAGACAAATTAAATATGAATTTTGGTTACGAACTATCAGTTCAAGATTCGTTTACATCAATAGTATGCTTGAGTCTTTCGATTTTCTTCAGTTCTATTTTCTTTTTCGTCAAGGCAATGGATAGTTGTGGTATTATAGGATGTTCTGAAACAGAATATTTTTCTTATGATCCATCCAATAGTAATGATCGTCGATCAACAGGATCTTTTAATAGTATATTTAAATTAGATGATCCGAATACAGCAGTTTGTTTTACTAATATTTCTCCGGTAGATATATTTGTCGTGTGCATTCAATTAATTGTTATATGAAATTTTTAGGGCCAATATTTACTTAATGGTCCCAATGTTGGCGTTACTACATCTTTGCAAGGCATGAGTCAACGTCCTCCAATTATGTTTGTCAGTTCGCCGATAGATTTTATTTATTCACATCCATATTTAATTGTTCTCGTCAGGGATTATATTCATATATACAGGTATTTAATATGGTTAGATGAATTTATAAATTCTATGAATTTTATTTTAGTTATTTAGACGATCAACTTAAACAGGAGATACCTTTGAAATTTTGCCGAACATTATTAACTATGCAACAAGAAAATATTAAAAATATCATAGTTACGAATAAAGATAATATTTATTTACTTGTTCCACTTAGTATTGAAGAACAAATTGAACAATTATTGAATAGTTACCGTTTACAAGAAGCATTAACATTAGCCGAAAGTACTTGTTCATCGATTAAACAACGTAGCACAAATCGATTGGTTCTATCAACTAAAAAGCGTATTGCATTTATTGAATTTAGTGCAATGAATGTTGTTCGTGCATTATGTTTATTCGATGATATTCATATAGATTTTCATGAAGTGAGAAAGAAAAAAGTTATTTATTTTGTAAAAATGCCTATTTTCATATGATTTAGATTCTGACACAAATACCAAATTTTTTACCAATAAATTCTTCATGGTCGAATATAGATGAAAATAATAAAAGTCAATATGTTCAATGGTTGAATGCACTCGGTGATTATATGACAAGAAAATCAGCTGAGTTTTCTCATCAGCCGGTAAGAAAATGATACAGATTATTTACTAATCGGAAAGAAGAAGAAGAAGATTGCCATCATTTGCATGTTTATAGGACTATTATCCAGTACTATTAAAAGCCTATTTACTCGTGAAAACTCCTGAAATGATCATTGAATTCATTCAAACCAATGCCTCTTATGTTCCAATGGATTATTGTAAAATTCTTATAGATGCACAACATTATAATGCTGCAGCCATACTCTATTCTTCACATGAAAAACATCAACAAGCTATTGATATATGGAAAAAGTAATGCTTAATAAAGATAGAAATGTTTTTTCTTTGTATTTATATCTATCTATCTAATGATCTTTCTATTTAGCGTAGACTTGTATCAAATGAATATTCGAATGATGATACATTTCCTGGTGTGTGGATTCTTGCGAAATATATACTTGAACGAAATATTGATCGATCATTAGAATTCTCTACTGCTGCCTGGTTCCTAGAACGAAACGAAGAAGAATTAGCATTAAAAGTAATAGAATATCTTCTTTATCGAATTTAGAAAGAAACATAAAACTTCGATTATTTTGCTAGATTTTCACTAATAAACATCGAACGGAATCGAACAATGATCCATTCTCTTCTCAACGAGTTATTAATCTGATAAAAACGCATCAAACAGCATTAGTAACTTACCTGGAATATGCTGTTTTTAAACTTCAACTTCAAGTAAGTTTCGAAAACGGCCGTATGGATAGGTTAGAACCATACTACTGAATTTTTAGACCGACGAAATTCATACAATGTTAGTTAATATCTATCTCGATCAAATTTTATCAAAATCAGATAATGAAGAAACACGGTTTGATTATGATATTTTTTCTGAAATTTTTCTTGACTTGTTCCGTGAAATTTTAGTTCTAAACTTCAAGCATTCATAATCACATCAAATTCGTATCGTGTTCAAACTGTTCTACATCGAGTTAATCAAACAAATCGATTGAAACGTGAAGTTGCTCTTCTCTATGGCAAAGTATAATTTTCTAACTATCGATTTTTGTTCTTCTAATTTGAAAATTTTCTAGATGAATAATTTCGAACAAGCTTTTCGAATACTCGTCGATGAACTGCAAGATTTGGAATATGCAGAAAATTATTGTATAGCTTTATCACATGGAAAATCGAGTGCTGATCGGAAAATTGTTGCTCATGTTCTATTTAAAGTCTTTCTCAATTCGTTAGAAAAGTAAACTTGGATATATCCATGATTTTTCATGTCTATAACAATGAAATATTTAGATATCCAAATGAAATAAAAGCAGCACTACTTCGTCTTCTTTGCAATAATGAAATTGAATTTGATTTTATTGAAGTTCTACAACGTCTACCATCTCATTGGTCTTTAGCATCGTTATCTCAAATTCTTCTACGAGCTTTACGTACTTATTCTTATACTCAGCGAGCAGCAAAACTAGAATCCTCTTTAGTACGTGTACAAAATGAACAGTTAAATATAAAATTAAGTCAATTGAAACGTTCAAACACAATGATTAATGAACAACGTCAATGTAAACATTGTTTACAACAATTTTATGAAACATCATGTGTTGTTTATCAAGATGGAATTCAAGTTCATGTTCATTGTGCAAAAAAATACAAACAAAATTAACTAAAATTATGTTTCAATTTGGTTCGATGATAGTTGTGATTTTTAAAAAAAAGATTCTCTCCTTGTTATTTATTTATGATTTCACAAAAAGAAAACAATTCTTTTTTACATGATTCTATTGTTTTATTTATTATTACAATAGATTTTTCCATATAATGACGATTTGAGATAGATGACTGTCGAAAAATCCGAATGAATATAGGATTTCGTTTAGCGTCAAACAGTCGAAAATTTAGATTAAAATATCTGAGTACAACATTGGTCAGCTAAATATATCTTATTATCTTCAGATGATGATTTTACAAACTAACTTTAGTCACGTTCGCCTATCCGTAGGAGAAAAAAAGATTTCAACTGAATAGTAGAAGTAGAGGAGTGCATGTTTAATTGTTTCTTTCCAATAAAACTAAATGAAAAATGAATGTTTTATTTCTGTTAAGCTCATATTTGTATAATGATGTGTATCAAAGCGACAAGTAGCATACTGTTTCATTTGATTTCGTACTACATCGTCGCATTGGAGTCAAGTTTCGGCTAGGATACTTTTCAACAAAATCGATGAGTTATAAGTATTGATTGAGTTTGACGGCACGAGAGGAGAAGACTCATTCTATTTCAAAAGCGTCCTCTTATTAGAACAATGATCGATTTAATTCATGTAAATGTTCCATTTGGTTGCCAATACTTATTTATCGATACCGCTTTCATTTGTTTACGTAGTATATCTAGAATGCTGAATTGACAAAACCAATCGATGCTAAAACTAGTGAATCAACTTGATGCTATATCAGCAGAGCCGATCAGATTCTGATCCAAGATGATGCTTAAAACGCAAGAAAAAACTTCGGTTATTATTCGTACATTGCTCTCTTAACATTAAAATAGTACACTCAATTTTTAGAAATATTTTTAGAACAGGTAATTTTATTATTTTTTCATAGTTGAGTCGATCACTAAGATGTATCAAGTTTATGATCGATCCTCTAGAGTTTAACTGTAGTTGTCACAGTTAGAGATAATAAATTGTTCAAAACTTGTTTTTAGATTTGGAAAATACAAACGTTCAAAAGGACATTGCAGAAGTGAAATTAAAAATAGCACAAGTTCTGTTTTTGCTCGTATTGTGGGTGTGGGTGTGGGTGTACTTCGAATAATTCCACACCCACACCCTCAAGAATTCTTCGCCATTTCAAAATTGATGTACCATTTGTTTCTTGTTCTATGTCTGGGCGTTTTTCTGATCCTAGTTTTGTTGTTACATCAGTTCTAGATGGGCGTTTTAAGCTTTTATGGCTCGATAATCTTCAAGCTTTGGTGAAGTTGCGTGTTATTGAAAAAATGCATACTGCTTTGGTTCATTTTTTCTCAAAATTGACTTTTTCTTTGTTACAGGAAGAGGAAGCTGATGCGCGAAACGTAGCTGAATACGATGACAGCGATCAGCTGACACAACATGTAGATCCAATAACAAAGAGAAAATGCCTTGTTCCTTAATTGAATGATATGAAAAACATTTCTGCTGATGAGGAACCAACACTTTTCGTAGAACTTTATGCTATTCTAGCGGAAAAAGTAATGAAAGTAATTTTCTTTTTCTCAAGAAAATTCTTTATCCTTCTTTATATGAACTTGGTCTGAAATACTTTTCAGCGCCAGCTACATCGGCCCCTACTGAAAGAACATTCTCTCAAAGTGGATTTGTAACGCGTCCACATTCCGCATCGTTAACTTGAAAAAATGTATGTTTGCTTATGTTTCTTAAATGTAATAAAGTTTTATTGTGGTTTGATTTTTTGAAACTTGATGATGAAAAAGCGACTTAAAAAATTTTGATTCATGACTCAGACATGTATTGGTACTCGTACTCGAAAAATTCCGTATTTCCCCAGCTCTGCCTAAAGCTGAGATTTAACATACCAAAAATCCTGGATAAAACACTGGTAATTTACATTTTTGATAGGGGTGTCAATTTACAGTTTATTTAATTTAAATTTAATAAATTGTTTGGATGGATACACATCATTGCTACGAGGAAAATACGGAACTTTAACAGTAGTAAATACTAAATGAGAGGAAAACATAGTATTTTAGGTTAATATTTGTTCATAATAGTCAAAATTTCTCTACAGATTATGCAAGATCCGTCATCTTGTTTCTTCAAAATACTTGGATACTCATAAAAATATATTTAATAGCACAATTCGCAGAAGAATGATTAGGTTTAACTTTAGAAAACAGGAAACATAATTACTCAAATTTGACTTTAAACCGTAGCAATCAAGTCAAAAACTATGTTTATCTACTAGTTTTCAAAATTTAACTAATTTGAATTTCAAACAATTTAATTTAAATTTAGTTAAATTTAAATTTAACTTTTCGTTTAAAAAAAAATTTAATTTATTTTAAATTAAAATGTGACACCCCTAATTTTTGATGAATTTCTATTTTTTGTATCTATTGTCTGTCTCAATATTAGTTATGTACTTTAACTTTATTCATTATGTCACAATGTACAATAAAGTTGTTTCACATATTTGTTCGAAAATATGTATGATGAGATACTGAAATGGACAGAATTTTCTTGTTTATGAAACTATAGTGCTTTTTTAATCTTCCAGTCGCCGTCGCCGTGCAGCCTAAATATTTGAGTCAGCCGTCGCTGAGCATTAAAAAGAATTTTTGAAGTCGGTGCTGTTCACCCCCTCGGCTCACACCTCTATTCGTGGGGAGTTTGAACTTGGCGCAAATTCGAATTCCCCATCATATGCATTTTCATTCATAAACATTTGCAACAAACGTTCATCAGTCTCAAGATTTCTCAAATTCTACTTGGTAGAATGAGCATGAAACTTTATTTCTTATGATTGTACGAAGTATATGCTAATTATAAATACTATGAAGTACTTAGATCATTTATCATTTACAGTTGCTAAACAAAAAAGTGATGCTTTATAATTTTTTTTAAATTTCCTGACTTATGTTCAGTCTCTGTTAGAATATATCGTCATTATCTCTATGGTCACGGTCATATTCAACATAGAACTGTCGTTCTTTACTCGGAAAATTAAGAAAAAAACTGAAAAAAAAGCACACTCGTCCATCGATGACTTTGAGAAGGAGAATAGAATGATAAAAATGCAGGCATAATCTCTTACATCAATATATGGCGCTGATTACACGTTTCGGCGATCTATCCGATCTAGTATTGATCGAGTTGTTCTCGTATCTATCATCGATCGATATTCTTTGGGGATTTACTCACCTTAATTATCGTCTGACAACGTTAATAACTGAACGAGGTTTCTTTTATCATATTAATTTATCGCTTGCACGTTATCATCAATTTAATACAATACTTCGTTTTCTTCCATTGAATGATATTCTATCAATTTCAATTGATAATGATGCATCTCCACTTCAACTAACTTGTTGGCCTTATATGCCTCGTTTGAGAACTTTGCGTATAATCAGCGTATACGATTATGATGATCTTTTACCTTTTGCTATACTTCATGCAGCTACACTTACTCATATCATTGTCAACTCAAATGAACGACTAGTACCAGTAAGTATTAACGTATTTTTTTAGCACACTGAATTTCAGCAACAAATTGGATAGTTGAACTAAGAATTGAAATGATAGAGGCACTACTGCTCTGCTTTGAAATTTACTCACGATATCTATAAAAAAAAAGAAAGAAATTGTTTCTACGAATTGTGTGTAAGAGATGAACTCTTTTTGTTACCTTCGAATTTCAATGCGATCGAAAGGTAAATAAAATATGATAGAGAGGACAAGGAAATATAAATTCATTGTTGTTTTAAAAATAAATAAATAAAGTGTTTAGTTTAATACTTTTAGCCGTTTTGCAATCTACACATATATAAAGCTGCCATGTATGCCACTCAAGATTGTTGTGGAATTGAATTATTCAGTTGACACGTTCAAATTTAGCATAAAGTCATTTATTTGCCACGACGAGATTTTAGTAAAACAACTATAAAATTATTCTAATTATCAATAGAGAAAAGAAAGTATAACTAACCAATCAATTAAAACACGTATCCCATCCTAGAATTTATTCTAATAATTTTAAAATTAATTGAATCGTAATGGCATAGCTTCTAGTCGTATCATGGAGTTTTCTCGTCTAAATGTGTCGATTTTATCACTATTCACGAAGAGTCCTGAACAATTTTCTTCAATATTCCAGAACTAGCTTTGATTGTTGTAAACATATCGCAAGATTTTTTTATCTCAATAACTGCCGTGAATATTTACTCTGGAAGCGAGACTTATTTACAATTCTTGGTAAATGTTATAATGAATAAGATAGTTTTTTCAACAGAAAATCTAGAATAATTATAATGCGAATTTGTTTTGCTCTTATGATTTCTACAGGTTATAACAGAGTGTTTGGAGACAATTTTCTTTATGAATCTGTATGTTTACAAAAGAGATGTTATTGATTACTCTTGTAGCGATTTTTAATTAAAATTTTCTCTCACAGAATAGATTTATTAATCAAAGCACTGCTTTTTTATTTGATTATTGGTTTTTATGATATTTTAATATGGTTTCTTTTGTTTCCAGGATGGTGTCACGATCCATGTTGTATACCCCTTGGGTGACTTAAATAAGCTTATGCGTGATGTTCTTCTTATTCATTTACTTTCACTTCGATCACTCGACTTCGGCTTTCACTATAACTTGATGAGGTGGCCCATTGCTGTGCATGCCCCTCTTACCTATCTGCTTTTGCCATTGGTTTCCATGGATGATTTAATTCGTATTATGGCAACACAACAACTTTCCAGTACATTACGCCAGTTACACGTCTCAATAGCTAATCATCGTGATCGTAAGCATTGTGCTATGCCAACATTTAATTCTTTGCTTCCAATGGTTAATTTGCATACATTCACTTTTTTCCAAAAATTTTATTCGCGATTACGAATTGAATGGACATATTTCGAAATGCTGATGTCTTCGAATGTAATGCCTGCGCTTCGACGTGCCAGTTTATCTATTTTTATTAATATGAACGAAATAAATCGTATTAGTTCGTCAACATTTTTTACAGATCATCGTCATGTTGATGTTCATTTCGTTTTCAGTCTCATTAATTGTCCCCAATACATCGAGATGACTCAATATATACCTCGTGGAAATCGTTTTCATCGGCGAGAAATTGTTGGTGCAACATTGGTTGTTAATGACACGTATATGATGTCCAAACCAATCATGAATCCGGATCATTTTGTAAGTCATTACTGTATTTTCTTCCATTTTATTTCAAATTAAGTTATACAAAGAAAAAAAGAAATCTTTGCTCTTTAGTTGATTATCTAACTTTGATCTAATAACATGCTAATATATTCTTTATATTTGCAGAGTTATGGACGCCAATATTGTCATCATATGTGGTATACTCTTCCATGGGCATTCGATGAATTCTTTCATGAAAATATGCCAGAAAACTGGATTACTCAAATACGAGTGTTTGAAATACCACAAAAAGTAACGACATCTTATACGCCATTTCTTCGTTCATTAGATGTATTTCGTGAAAATGTATCACCTTCTTTATACTCTCTACCTCACGTGGTATCATACGATCGTATTGAAACGTACCACTTGGCCTATTATACTACATCTCTTCCCAAATATTTATCTAGTCTTCGCAATATAACTCTCGTAAATAGTATCGATTGTCTTACCTACTGTTATTCATTTCCAACCACAATTCGTTCTATTCGTATTCACATTTTGTTCAAATCTCATAACTATAAGATGCCAGACTGGTCAGCGCTAATGTATTCACTCTCAGCTTTGCGACAGTTGAGTTCGTTAAATATATTTATGTATGATTTGCCAACAACTGTCGACATTGACAACTGTCAATTCATCGCAAAGGCAGCACTTAACGTTATCAATTTTGCTCTTTGCTTTCGATCCAAAGGTGGTACTTCTTCAAAAGAATTCGAAGCCGTATTTAAATATCATCCGAAATTTGTAAAAACGTTGTGTGACTCTATTATTTTATTGTGTCGTGACAAACAACCTTATTATTCAATTGAAAATGATGGCTTTGGACTGAAAACATGGTTTTGATTGAGTAGATAAACTCGATAAAAACTTTCTTAAATTACGATGAATCTTATTGTATACATTTTAATACAAATATTGTTGTTAATAATTTTCTTTTAAGCTATGCACAAATATAAGTGACTGCAAAATCGCGTCATCCAAAGAAAGAAGGTCTTTGCTAAAATAATGAATTTGAACGCGAAAAATTATTTTCAAAGAGCATTATTTCAACTAAAGTAGGCGTAGGATATATTGGAGCTGGATTCGAGTATTCCGCAACTGGAGTAGCGTGCAGGTTATACCAAAGGATAAAAAGGCTATACCAAGATAGATCTCGACGAGTTCTATCGGTTCCACTCATTAATTTTTTCTCAGGACCCTTCCTTCATGGAGAAAAACCTAAAATACTACCAAAAAATCCAGCGTCTTTCGTAAAGCTTGTCACGATTCGCTCATAGGTCAGACTAAATGACGAAACCTTACCAGGAGATAGAACTTGCAAAGCTCTATCCTATGAACACCATTCCGACCCGATTCCATTATCAGATCTCTGAAAAATCAACTGTACAAGATCCGGAATCGGATTTTCTCTGTAAATCGCACCGGGACTCGCCTGTAGATTATACCAACAGATAAAAATAGTATATCAAGATAGAACTCGATGTGCTCTATCCAATGGGCACCTTTCTAGGAGACACACATTCTGGAATCCCCTTCAAGAATGCTAGCCAAGCCCGAAAACCTAATTTTTCTGAAAAATCTGTATGGATTCATTAAAACACCGGACCAACACATGAAAATCACACCCTTTGATAGAACTCGACGAGCTCTATGCCATCCTAGGATCCCTCCGAAAGGGCGAATCCAGATCACAGTTCAACATTCATTAGATTTAGCATTGGTTTTCATTTTTTTTGTATCCAACATACAAAAGCGAACATTAATCAATTTTGATTCCTTCATATTTAAGAGGGAAATATTTTTCTAAGGCTTCTTTTTTATGCTTTAGATTTTCTTCTAATTCTTGTATCTTTTTTAATTTGAAATAGTTGAGATGATAGTAAATCAACGACATCTTAATATTTTATTTTCATCAAGAAATTGTATATATCATCGAGGAATAGAAAAGAAAATTATTGGTTCCATCTTTCGTTCCTTCCATCTTATTGATCCAAAGCAATGAACTAATGAATTATTTTTCTCTTTCTCCCAGGTCGAACAGTCCGGCCTGAAAACGGCCGATTCCCGGTAGTTCCGTTGAGTTTGTGGCAGCAGTATTCCGGTTGGAATTTTTTCCGGTGATTTCCGATCAATTCCTGCCGGAAAGCACCAGAACTTAGCAGGAATCCACCGGAAAAGTCAGGCCGTATATTTGACCTGAATACTGCTTCCATGTTGCAGCGATTTCGCGTGTTTTCCTGCAGGATATGGTGACTTTCCCGCATATTTCCTGGAGTATCCTACGGGATCCGGTGGCCGGAATGTTCGACCTGGGATACACCAGAAATGAAATGCATCTTTCTAGGTTTACTTTTTAATTTTATATCCTTAATTTATGGTCAGCTCAATTTTCCATGTCCAGCATTCTTATTGATTTGTTTATTTATTCAAGCATTCCTGAGTCTACTATCAATTGCTCTACCAAACTTTCCTGTTTTTATTCTTTTCATGATAACATGTGCGTCAGCTCCTCTTTTCTTGATTTATGCCGCCAGTGAACAGGTAAGTGTTGCAATATCTAGTAGCTTGAAAATAGAACGAAATTATTTTTGCAAATTTCTATTCAAGGTTAGCTAGAAACTCGTAGAATTCTACCAGAAAATATATGTTAAAAAGTTCCAAACTTATTTGTTGCGATACAGTATTGAAAAAAACGAATTTTTCATATTACTAAATATACGTGATAACTTTTAAAAAATGACTTTTTGAATCATCCCTGTTGTTCAACAAGCTAGAAATTGTTTGTTCAGCCACACATGCAAAACTTTATCGAGAAACCTAAACTTGAGATATAATATACTCAGAACATTATCGGTCCTGGAGACTATTTGAACGTAATCGAGTGAAGCATACGACAAAATTATCAAGGTTCGCTTAGGAATGGCACTTTGACTTGAAAATTCAAAAAAAATTAAGTAGTTGAAGTTAGAGTTAAAGTTGAAAGTATTTCACTTTAACTGTGAGTAATATTATTCATAGTTATTAGTTGCGTGAGACAGATAGTAATACTTGATGATTTTATCGTACGCTTCACTCGATTCAAAAATCTCCAGATTCAGCAATGTTTTGAGTATATTATATCTCAAGTTTAGGTTCTTCGATAAAGTTTTACGTAGGTAATTGAACAATCAATTTCTAGCGTGTTGAGCAACAGAGATGATTCGACAAGTCATTCTTTTTTAAATTAACACGAATGTTTATCAAGATGAAAAATTCGTTTTTTCGATACTTTATTACAGCAAGCAAATTTGGAATTTTTTAATATACAGTCTCTGGTAGAATTCTACGAGTATTTTACTAATCTTGAATAAAAAAAATTTAAAATGATTTCGTTCCATTTTTGGGCTACTGGGACCTTTTGGATATCGCAGTATTTTCTTTCGACTACATTGTTTTAGATGAACAAGTATCGTCATTATAATTTAGAGTAATTTTTGTCTGTGATGAGATAGAGTTCATTGTCTGATCATGAACTCAGGATTATTATCTCCGCTTTTTGTTTTTTGTTTTTTCATACTTTTGTTTTCAGATTTCTTTATTTTTGTTGGGCAGCTATGACTCCGTACTACGTAGTCATGTCAGATATTTTGAATAGTAGAAAACTTTTATGCCTAACATTTTTCTCTTGATTTAGTTTTAGATAAAATCATGCCGGCTTTCTATCGATTTATAAATTCTTCTGAAAGAAAACAATTATGCTCAATCCTACTTTGCCAAGCTATACTGGTTTCAGTTTCTTCGTATTATAGTATTGAAAACATGGAATCCAACAACGAGTGTGCTAAAAGATTGAGACGCGAATATATGTTTCTTTCACCGTATATCAATACGCCGCAGGATTGTACATGGCAAACCCGTTTTTGGTTCCCACTAAATACCTATACACTGTATACATTTGGATTGTTTTTTTTTCATATTTTGAGTGGATATTGGATATCCGCATGGCATACCATCACGTACCCATACGTTCTTCTAGGTTTGATGTTTAATGGCAATCGAGCTCATCAACAAAACAGTCTATTTTATCGTGATGCACCGATTTTATTGGGTGCATTATTGATGGTTCTTTATCTTGAAAAAAAAACCTTTTGAAGATTCCAAAGCAACTCAGCGATATATAGATATTGATAGCGTGAATGACGAACGATTGGAGGCATTCGAAACAGCAAACGAGCAATGTTGGAACAAAGTCATTGATAAAATTAGACGTTGTGACAACAATAATGATGCCAAAGAAATTATTCGACAAGCAGATGAGCAAACAGCAAATAATGTGTTAATGTATCAACTTGTAGATAATCCAGTGTTTCCTCGACCAGAGCAAAAGAAAAAAAGTATTTTTTTAAATATTTTTATTCATGTGGCACCATTTTTCTTATGTGTATTAGCTGTTTTGAATTATATATTTTTATTTCACTGGAAATCTTTCCCTTCATTTAATCGAGGAAATAGCACACATCTTTTGTAAATATGTTTTATGTCATTGTTTAATCCTTGACTTGCTCTAGTCATTTAATGTTATCATGTTCGTAATTTGTATGTAGATAGTTTCATGTATAAATAATGATTACATTAAATAAAAATTATCTTGAAAAAGAAAGCGATTGATTATCGTTATATGAAAAACAATTGCAAAATTAAATTACCAACGTTCTCGTGTTGTCACAACGAGGTTCAATTCGCAGGGTGTGTGGGGGTGGGTGTCCAATGTTGTAATCCAAACCAACATCCACCCATCCACATCCACACCCTCAAGCTTTATAATAGGTAATTCTTAGAGAAGCTTGTTAAAGAAGAGATCCTATACAATTACAAGAATTTATGATAAACGGATATAAAAACATTAGTTTTAGATATTTATTTACATACTATAGTAGGATGTGGAGTGTGGGTATGGATGGCAGCTTGCTTTCTGCCTACACCCACCCCATCGACCATACACACTTACCCACATATCCTCACAACCACACTTGCAGTCAAACCCAAATCTACGAGCTCTGTTGTCTGTGCTATATGCTCTCAAAAATTACTTTGGCTTCATTAAACATTTTCTTTTCACTTCGTGCCATTTTTAACACCGCATCTGCTTAGACATTTTATTACAAGCATCGATAGAGTGGACGATAAACTAGGCGAAGTGCGAACAACCTGATTTTGATCAAAGCAATATGTTTTGTAAGACAGATATCGATTTTCAACAGCATATCAACGTCATTCGTTCACGTCTTATTAATACAATCAGTGTTCTTCATTAAGGATTCATTTATTATGACTGATTTGAGCATGACTATCTATGAAAAACTTAATTTTATTACTTAATTTTTTACTTTTTCAATGATGTAAAAAAACAGGTTACTCGGTTGTTTTCCGTTGTACTCATTTTGATCAATACAGTCTAACAAGCGCATACAAGCATCGATCATGATGCGATGTTTACATGAAATTATGTTTGCTTCAATTTTACCAGTGCTCTTGTATAAGGCTACCCACAATCCAAGAATTTAATGATTATATTATTCATCTACACGAAGAAAATCCGACACCTGAGTTAGACGTTATATATATATATATGAAAGATTTCGATAGATTTCTTTAAATCTGTTGACAGTATTGTTTTCTTGTCACGCTCGATAACAGCAATTCCTCACAAAATGTCTAATACAAATTCCAATCTTAATTTCATTGCTTACATGTCAAACATTCCGTTTGTCTTTGGTTTTATCGGCGGTATGCTTAATTGTTTGGTATTTTCACTGAAAGCACTTCGTTCAAAGCCATGTGTTGTTTTTTTTTCTTGTGGCCAGTATAGCAAATCTGATTAATCTGATTTGTGCAGTAATACCACGCTCGGTGCAAACATTTTTTATGATTTCGGATCAAACCGAAATTGTATCAGTCTATTGCAAAATGCGTCTCGTTGTTCTCTTTTCGGTTCGTACAATATCATCTTGGCTGATTGCTTTGGCTAATGTCGATCATTACCTAGTCTCATCGCGCCTTCCCCATCGATGACAAATGAGCAATTTGAAAAATGCCTATCGTTGGCTAATGATCATAACCACTCTATCCGTCGACAATCATGTTCATGGTTGACTTGCTGATAATTAGAAATGTCCGACACTCTACGAATTCTGCACGTTAACACATACCGCAACGAATCAAACAACAGTAACAACTAGACAGGAGGAACATAATCTAACTGTGACGTTAATTGCATAAACAATTCTTCTTACAATCTTTACCCTCCCAATAGCTGGACAAAAGTTTTATTTGACTATACATTCTATCAACCAAAATCGTCGAATCAAAGAGCATTAGAAAGTTTCGTTTTCGCCTTTGTTCTTCAACTGCTCAATGTTCCAACTTGTATTTCATTTTACTTAAACACAGTCACCGGCAAAGTATTTCGTGCAACACTTCTCAAATTACTCAAAAATGGAATATTACACTTGAAATGTTGGACGTAGACAATCCAATAATTGGCATAACTTGAAATTTGAATTTAATTCATAATATTGTCATTTTGCTTTTCTTTGTAAATATCAACCACAAGACTTATCTTCACATTTTTTCAGAGTAGATAATATTGGATGAGTCCTTAAACTCATCGATGAAATCAAGTATCGAAAGCGAAATGCTACGTACTTACAATTACTATATTCGCACCCTAATGTTTTCCGTGTAAAAGAAAATACTGCCATCTATAGATTGGTAAAACTAGGATTCATAATCCAATGAATACCCATACTTGATCAACAGTACAATTGAATTACAAGGAGATATTTTATTTGTCTATTGACGGTTACGATGAGTAATTCATTTCATTAAATTATATTCGTGTTTTTAGAGCATGTTTCGTTAGATTAACAAAGTTAGTTTTCCCAGGAATTATTTCGATAGAATGTATTTTGTTTGCGTACTTTAGATTATGAAGCAAACGTTTGTCCATGATATTAGTCATCAATTACAATCGGCCGTATTCTCATCAGGCCTTACAACAAAATTAATATGCTTATTTTGTATTATTGGATATGGTCTTTCATTTAGTTCGCAATGCGTTCAATTACTTGCAGTCATTCCAGGTCGTATAATGCCTCCAAACTTTTGGATTTGGTTAGTTATAAGTTGTTCGTTTTTTTTTTAAAGACTTTCATGTGATTTTATTTTCCTAGGACATTTGTTACACATAGTTTTATTGAATTGCATATATGGCATACGATAATTGATGTTATTGTTGTTTTTCTTTATTCAAAAATGATTGAACCATTATGGGGTACAAAAGAACTTTTAAAATTTTATTTTATTGTTACTATTCCTAATGCATTATTTGCAACATTTACTTATATTTTATTTTATGGTTTTACATTTAATGAAGAGTATTTATTTGAACGTCCTATCTATGGTTTAGCACCATTCATTGGTGCTTATTCCGTGGTTATCAAACAAATTATGCCTGATACAATAATAGCAACAACACCCTTATTTAAACTCAAACAGGATCATGTACCATTATTAATGGTTATTTTATCAACCATACTCTGGCTTGTACATGCTGTTCCTATACATTTTTTAATCATGCTTAGCTTTGGAATTATTATTAGTTGGACATATTTGAGATTTTTTCAAATACATCAAAACGGAACAAAAGGCGATATGTCATCATCGTTTTCATTGGCCAAGTAAACGCAATACTTTTTAGTTCCATTATTATTTGTATTGAACTCTGTTTTTAGTTTTTTTCCACCACCTTTATCACCAATCGTCAGTGTATTAGCAAATACAATTTTTGAAATATTTGTTAAAATGAAATTATGCAAACCATTTATTAAAAAATACAATGTTGCTTCATCATCAAGTATTACAATAAATATTCCAGGGGCTGATGTAGCTGATACTGATAGAAGAAGGTTTGCATTACCCTTCGTAGAAAATGAGGAGAAAAAAAATGATTGTTTTATTTTAGACAAAAAGCATTGAAAGCATTAAACGATCGAATGAAAGTAAAAGATTTATCATCAGAAGCCTGGCCTGAACTCGATGAAGTTGAAAACCCATTATTACCTCCCACTCATCAATTAGAAACTGCATCTACAATTATCGATATGAATAATTCAACTAAAGAAGATTTAAATCAACCACAAACATCATAAACATACGCTATGGCGTCTTTTTTTTGTTTCGTTCTTTAAGCGACATGTATAATAAAAGAAAATTTCAAACAAAATCTTCTCTTTTTCTTTTTCTTTTTCGTCAATACGATAATTCCGAGAAGTTGAAGGACGATCGTAAGACTGTAAAGATCATAGATCGGACAAAGATTTATCATCTTAATGGCAAACATTCATTTTATGGTTCATTAAAAATATCAATCAAATTCTATTCTTTTTTTGCCTTTGTTTTAGATATAATATAACATATTTTTAAAATAAATTATAAAATGTTCGATCGAATACAATCTTATTGTTAAAATTCTTTAAGTAGAGATTAGCTGATGAATTTATGAGTGATCGTAAATATTTTATTACCAGAAAAAAATCCCGAGATATGATTCATACGGAATACAAAACTATCGTCTATTTAACTGTATTAATCATGTCTCAATAATATTCATTTACGAAATATTGATGTCATCTTCAACTAATAAACTTGTCGGCTCTTGACCTCGAAATTGCCATCTGCCGAAGTTAGCTGTCAGTTTTATAAATAATGAATAGTTATTTTAATTTTTCAGTACGAGAATAAAAATCAAACAATGTCATCCATATAGCTTAGCAACCGGAAAAGAATGAAGTTCAAGTGACTAGTCACAGTCAGCCCTATTTTTAACAATGAAGCGCTATTTTTAATTTGTATATTTATTGAGTTCTTAAACAAATTTGTCTTTGATTAGTTTTGAAGTTTGTCATTATATTCATTTTACTAATCGTAATAAAGAAATGTGTCGTAGAATGACCATGAACTAGATCAAATATTTGGTAATCGGATCTTACACTTGATTTAACAATTACGTATATACAAAATATATTTCATTCCAAGGATTTCTAACGAAATTTTTCCGTGAGATAAAACTTTTCTTTTTGTCATTCGTCCAAATGAGAGCAAACGACAAAAAACTCATAGATAATGATTTTTTCTTCATATAATATCACCTGTGATTTGTCATCATCTAATAAAAGCTAACAGTATGAATATATTATTATGTTTCCTTGAAAAAAAATCGCGCAATTCGTCAATCTAATTAAGTCTCTCGATAACATAGCATCACGTCTTTTTTTCTTTTTTCTTTTTCTTTCTTTCTTGCCTTTTTCGTCTTCTTTTTTTTCTGGATTGTATATATGGCATCATATGTATACTTGACGAGAACACAAGCAGTAGTAGTAACCCTACCATCATCATCATCATCATCATCGACATCATCATCCTGAAACCATTTCTGTCTAGTCGCATATGTATATATGTACTGCATTCGCTAGGTTTTTCTTTTACACCACTACGGTTGCTTGTCGTCGTCATCGTCAGAGTAGAGTCGAGTTTAAGAGCGCAAGACAGAAAGAAAGAGAGAGAGAGAGCAAAAGAATAAAGAACAACGTCATGGAGGCATCAGCTCGAGGGTTCTGTGCATGCTTCTGATGGGGAGATTTTTTTCTCTTCTTGCCTAATGCCCTTCTTTCCCTTTTCACTGCCGGTTCGTCTCTTCATATTATATAGCGGTGAACTGGCCAGACCCATTTCCAGCGATCGACCGTTTTTTTATTCCTCCCATTGGTCGGATGAGTTATTAATATAATCAAAGCAGCGTTTGCATGAGAGAAAGAGTAAGTAGTTCAGAGTTCATCAGACGTGGAGAAGAAGAAAAAAAAAATTGTGCATGGATGTTTTTTTATGATGGTTTGAGAAAAAAAATCGACAAAGACAGAGAGAGAGAGAAAAGAGATCAACTACCCACCATTCAGGTGGAAGAAACTGAGGGAGAGAGAGAGAGAGAAAGAAAGACACACACACACAGAGATTGTACACATACACACGCCACTCTCGTAATTTTCCGTTCTCTTCTCGTTTCTTTTTTTCCTCTCCCTCTTTTCTCTAGTATAGTATAGAAGGGTCGAGCATGTAGGCGTTAATCATCACATTCACATTTCTCGCTTTCGTCGTCGACTGGACATTGCTACGCGGTAAGTCTACGTTGGCTCGTTTTTCTTCTCCGTTCATCATTTATTCATTTTCTTTTAACATGAACTTATCATATTCTTGTTTTTTCTTCTTCATTTTTAGTATAGAGATAGATATATATATATTATATATATATTAACATAGAAAAATTATTTTTTTATAATTAAAAATTAATCCAAATTGCAACATAAAAATGCCAAGTGCAGCAATAATCGATTCATTTGTAACTGATTATCAACGTTCATCGTTACTTATTCCATCGTTTAATAATGATTTTTCATTACAATATCAACAACAACAACAAACGCTTGATGCACTTGGTAAAAAAAGTCAAAATATGACCGAATGTGTACCGGTGCCCAGTTCGGAGCACGTTGCTGAAATTGTTGGTCGACAAGGCTGTAAAATAAAAGCATTACGTGCTAAAACAAATACTTATATTAAAACACCCGTTCGAGGCGACGAACCTGTTTTTATTATAACCGGTCGCAAAGAAGATGTTCAAATTGCCAAAAAAGAAATTGTATCAGCCGCAGAACACTTTTCACAAATACGAGCTGGTAAATACGAAAAAAAAGCATCCTTCGTTCTCTCATGTTTAGTTTTTTTCTTTTGTTCTTCTTCTTTAGCTCGTAAACAACAATCAAGCACGAGTAGCTCATCGAATAGTAGTACAAGCAGTGGAAGTAATACAAATTTACATATTAATAATTTAATATTACCAAGTCAACAAACTACGATACAAGTCCGCGTACCTTATCGTGTTGTTGGTTTAGTTGTTGGACCTAAAGGCGCAACTATAAAACGTATACAACAAACAACAAATACTTATATCATAACTCCAGGTCGTGATAAAGAGCCTGTTTTTGAAATAGCTGGCCTACCAGAAAATGTTGAAGCCGCACGTTTAGAAATTGAAAGTCATATTGCTGCACGCACAGGACAAGCATCATCATCATCAGGTCATCAATCACCTGTTGAAGATAATGATGATATGAAATGGATGAAATCAAAATTTACTCATCATTTATCACTTCCATTTAATAATAATACAATTGATGATAATAATAATAATAAACATATTCCATTACGCACGGTATCTCAATCATCTTATTTTCCATTAGAAGATAATTCATTAATGAATCAGTCATTTGATTTTGGTTCATCATTTGATCTAATTAATGAACAAACATCGGATGATAATCACAATAATAATATGAATATTAACAATAATAATAATAATAATAATAATAATAATAATAATCATAATAATAATAATAATACAATATTTGATTCAGTTTGGTCAAATTTTAGTCTTTTATCATTGAAAACATCATAAAGATACACACTCTCAGGTATGAATAATTCTTAGCGTGTGTGTGTGCGAGTGTGTGCTATTTAATTTATTCTGTGTATTTTTTTACCTTTATTTGTTTTGTCATCGTGTACAGCTATCTTGATCAGGGACATTATATGTATTAACCCGGAAAACAAAATAAAAAAAATTTAAATAAAGTTTATTATTCTTCTACTTTATTATTATTATAATTATAAGATCTATCTCATTTTGAATGAGCATATGTTTAATGTGTGTTTGTGTGTGTGTGTGTGTGTGTGTGACCCACTAGTTCTAAGTCATTTGTATGTGTTCCCTATTCAGGAAGTCAAACTGCTCAAAGATTTTCTTCTCTCGTTTTTTTTTGTTTGCTTGTTTGTTTGTTTTGTTTTTTTTAGTTGTAGGTATCTATCTATCTATCTATATATGTATTGTGAGCTTTGAGCCTAACTTATTTTTTTCTCTTTTGTTTGTTTGTCAACACAAGTCTAGGCGCGTAGATTTTTTTCCTCTTTTTCTATTCGGGTGTGTGATTAGTATAAAATACCTGTTTGTTTTGTGTGTGTAGAAAAAAAACAAAAAGATGTGAAATCCGTACACACATATATATCATTTATTAGTTGCTACTATTACTATTTTTTTTGTATGCTTCGCATCGTCCAAGAGAAAATAAAACATTACAATATATAATAAGAACCTCGTCTCAGGTACAAAACTAACCTATGTATACGTGCATGTAGGTTTTTTTTCTTCTTTTTTTATATTTTTTTCTCTTGTTCGAATAAAAACGTGCAGCGACATATATTATATGATGTCTGCCTATCTATTTAATGAATGTTTTTTTAATTTTATTCGTTGATTGATGATATGAAAGAAAAGATGTGTCATTATGCGAATAGAAGAGGGCGAGAGAGCAAGAAAAGACCCTTGAATGTCTATGTTTTTACAATAAAGGTTAATGTCCGTGCGTGTCCGTATGTTGTTTGATCTAGTCAACGTACGGTACCGTAAGGGTATATTTGCGCGAGTTCACCGAACGGTCAAAGTCAATTTAATCGTTTCTCTTTTTTTTCCTTCTCATTTTTTTCTTCTTCTTCTTCGACTCTCGCCTTTTCTTCAGCTGCTTCATCATCACCACCACCGCTGATAATTTTCTATTGATGATTACATGCTGATAATCGATTTTAAATTTAAACCGTAGACTTAAACTAAACTATAGAGGAATAGAAAAGAAAAAAAAGTCCCTATTGCATCATTATTTTGATATGATGTAATGATATGTTCATCAATAATCAACATCTGTTGATAGATTGTTTCTACTCATCTGGCATTAGAAAGAAAAAACACTTGTCTATGACATTCATTCGTTCACAGTCACAGCGCGAGTGTATGTTTTCTAATCCATATCAAGATCTTTGTGTTTGATGATGATGATCATTTCTAATTATATTGTCGGATATGTATCGAGATTTCACATTGAGTGCATTCTTTTGAAGTTATTTACATTTAAATTTAACATCGAAAAACATAATTATCTTGATTTAGTTTTCTTAAGATATAAAAAAACAAGAAAAGAATAAAAGGCGCATCTTTATTATGATTGCAATCGAATGTTTGTACTATTATCGTATTCATTTCCTGTTTTATCTTAAATCACCGATAGACGAACGATGGTGAACTTCAATCTTTTCAAACACTCGCATTTCTCATGAGAATATTAACGTTCTTCTTACACAGTCACGACATTTTCTTCGAGTGTAAAACTTTATCTCCACCAGATGTGAATTAAAAAGCGAAATTGTTTAAATTCGAGTTTGTTCATCATACATTCATGTTTGTTTATAGAATATAGTTTGTTTAAATAATCACAGATCGAATGCAAACGAAAGAAAACAAAACAAAAATTTATTTTTCAACGACATTGTGATCATTAGATTGTGTGAATTCTGTTGCCGGAAGGAAACTTAAACAATAATCTTTAAATGGTTTAGTGTTTTCGTTTAATATAAAATCGAACGAATCATCAACAAATGATAAGAATTTTGAGTTTTGACATAATTGAGATTGCTGAAGATAGCAGTTCATCTATTGAAAACTAGAGTGTATAGCATGATGGCTAATGGACATATTGAAGAAAAAAAAAACTTAGTGATCGATGAGACATTATTTGCCTCGAGCTAATCATTGAACAATAACACGAAGACAAAAATAATGTTTAATATAGAGCTCGTATGTAGTTTTCTTTTTTATTTCTATTCTCAATTTAATATATACTTCAATTAATCACAACGCTTCAAGCGTTCACATTTAAGAACAAAAAGAAAAATTACTTCAAATTGAAATCTATTAGTTTGATGTATTTTCACATCGTTAAAAAGATTTTAAGTAAAATAAACAATATGTTCCCGCTAGAATTGAATGATTCGATTGTATTTGTAGATAAGCATGAATTCCATATGTTCATCGTGCAGACAAACACTTTTGAATAATCCTCTAAAAAAAGCTTGTGGGTCATGCCAACAATTATTTTGTTCCAATTGCTGTTATCAACGTGTAGCGGTACCAAAGTCAAATTATCAAATGCATGAAGTTTGCAGCCAATGTTTCCATTCTATAAGCACAGAATTAATGCTACAGAAACCGCCGAAAGGTTTTCTACAAAGATTAGAACAGCAACCACCGCAACAACAAAAATTACAACGACCGCCTGTTGAACCACTTGATCCAGAAACTAAAGCACTGGAAGAACGTCTGGCAAAATTACGTGTTGATTTTCCAGCGAAATCAATGTCTCATGCGTCGAATCAATTCGAGTCTCCCGATGATCTTATGCAACAAATGCATGAAGAATTGTCTATTCAACAACGAGAAGATCATGCACTTAAAGAACGTTTACGTATTTTACATGACACAATGCCTGCAGCAACGCCCGATACCGTTAAATTACCATCATCAATTAAACCTGATGAAAACAAGGACGATGGTGATGATGATGAAGAATTCCCATGGTGCACTGTGTGTAATGATAATGCAACGAAGCGTTGTCTCGAATGCGATGAACTATTTTGTGAGTCATGTGTTAAAAAGATTCATCGTGAATCAGGCTATAAAAAACATCAAATAGAATCATATAAACCATCGGCAACAGCAAAGAAAAAATATCATTATTAGCTCGATTGGTAACATATTGATTTTTAACTTCTTTTTCGACTTGAAAGTGAATGAAAACAGCTGGCGAAGTACTCAATTGTAAAAAATAAGAGGAAAAACAGCTGGTTCGATGTGATTTCTTTTCTTTTAATATATTTACATAAAATTAACATTTCTGTATTGAATTCTCATAAAAAACTACTTGATGAACATATCAAAGATTCAAAATATCATCAATCACATTTGCAACTACAAGATTTATTTGTTTAGCTTGCGGCAAAACAAGAAAAGAAAGTCTATGTCACTGATGCCTTTCTACGCATATATTAAATAGGGTCGATCCATCGGAAAATATCTATTTTCTTTTTTTGTGACTTTCATTGATTCATGTTGTAATTAAGAAAGTTTATACACGAGAGGCCTGTCAATCTCTTGAATGAACTTATTATCATTAGTGTGTATATGCATGAACATAAATGAATTCTATTCTTCTTTGTTTAGTTCACTGATGATAGACTAACAGCTGTTAGATTGAAATTGGACACGCCCTGTTTATTTCTTCTCTACTTCCATCATGCATGACATTTATCTAATTAAATAAAATTATCTATCAATGAATTGTAATAAAAAAAAGGAGAAAGATAGAAACTCTTGTTTCTTTCTTTCTTTCTTTCTTTTTTTGTTTTATGTTACTAAACAATGTTGAATGATGTGTCACGAAGCTCATAAAATTGAGTCTAATCGAAGATGACAAACGCATTTGTTCAAATTAAGCAAACTAAACATACTTTTACTTGTTTTAACACGAATGTCTTTTATGATACAACGAAGCACAAAAACCTTGACCCGAAATAGATATGAACGAAAATTGAGGATAGATAAAGTTTGAATTTTTCTCTTACCGGTTCGAATATTCTTTTGATAACAATCTATGTCAATCGTGTGAACAAAGTATTCAAATACAGATGGTTAGATCGCCATCAAAATCTAAGAAATTGTGTCCGATTTTCTTTTAAATGATAGAGTACGACGAATCATTTCTTGTTGATTTTTATCAAGTTCGATTTTGTTAGGTGGTAAATAGTAGCTCGATGATGAAATTCTAGTTTTTTCATCATGTATTGATTGCCATGTTTTTATTCCAAGATCAAATCCATAGGAAACTGAACGTTGCGATAACCGTGGCATATGTGAATTAAGAGAAGAAAGATCTTGCTCATCGATATTAGGACGCCAGTGTGGTGAAGATAAAATTAAAGAATTATTCTCGAGAAATGAATTTTGTTTGATTGATGGGCTATCTGATAAGAACTCTATCTTGAAAGAAGAAATAACAGACAATGTTTTCGGTCAGTTAGATTTACTATTTCAGATAATATCATTTCGATTCCTAATTGAGCTATAGCGGGATAGATCAGTGTGTGACACATGTGAGCATGGATATTTGGATATAGAACAATAGATCCAACATAAGTAATGATTGATTTCATCGCTGTTTGACTTGGTAGCTGAAGATAAGGGTGAGCATGAATTTTGTAGATACGTTCGTGTTCTTCGATTTTAAATTCATCATCAAATTTATTGTTCAGAATACGGTGTATAAGATATCGCCAATCTTGACGTGGATGCGAAAGAGAATCTCGAGGGAAAATTCTAGTTGAATTTATATCTTCGAGAGCATTGCTCTACATCAATATTAAATATACATCAGAAAAGGCTTTAATGAAATTAAAATTACCATTGTACTATCAGCAAGAAAATGTATCCTAGACATAAAATATAAATAGAACAAAAAACGCGCATAGAATTCAAAATACGTAGGATAGTCGGTCGTGTTCTACTAGATCAGTCATTTTTAGTGAGTCCATTTGCAAAAAGATGAAAATGTGACTTAAGATATCCTACGTATCCTCTCTATCTTGAGGGTGTGGTATGGGTGTGCGTGAACCGAAAATCTACATCCGCACGGATTTGGATTGTAGAAATCAAGTCAATCCACCACTGGTGATGGGTGTAAGTGTGGGTGTAAATTTTATTCAAGGGGTACAAACTGACTAGAAACCACTGGAAATCAAGAAACCGGTACGCATTCAAGAGATGCACTCCATTTAGATGCATACCCTTCATCCATGTTTTATCAATTGTATCCCGTACTGATAGGATTAACAGACAAAAGATTATATTCATAGAATTCATTCAATTTCAGCGATTCACCATCAACACGTATGAATCGACGAAGAAAGAAAAAATTTCAACTCACTGCCTTTAAAGAAAAAACGAAACAACAGCAATGCAGATATTGCTAATAAAATTCTTGCTTCAACCTCTCTAACTATATTCACATAGGAAAGAACTATTTTATGTCAATGATAGCTATATTTTCACTCAATATCTACATACTTCTGGGAATTGAACAGTTCCGGCACTAACAAGTTGGAAATGACACTACAGGATGTAAAATTTATTTAACAATGCCAATACCTACTCTAATTCATCCTTGTCTTCATACACAAGACCCATGTTTACGTAGGTACTTGCAATATCGGGATGTTGAGCAGGAAGTGACTTCAAGCTGATTTTAAGTGATTGATTGTAATGATCCAATGCAAGATCATAATGACCAAGATATCGATGAACCACGCCAATATTGTTGTACGATCCACCCAAATCAGGATGATCCGGTGGTAGATGCTTCCCGTGAATAGCAAGTGACTTCTCATAGAAGTCGAGCGCTTCAAAATACTTCTTCTCTTCTTGATAGATGGTGCCAATGTTGTTGTAAAAGGAGGCCAAATGTGGGTGATTCTCATCGTGTGCTTGTTTGAAGAGTGACACGGCTCGATTGTACGATTTGAGTGCTCGAACACGATCACCTTTCTTTCCATGAACGTTACCGATGCTGTTGTGTGTGATACCAATACTGACATGATCGGATGGACGAGTTCGCATATCGATCTCGAGTGATTTCTGGTACCATTCGAGACTCGTATCATACTCACCTTTCTCATCAGCAACCCTACCAAGACGTTCATACAACGCACAAAGAGAGAGATCATTCGATGGAAGTTCGCTCAACCATCGACGATAGTACTTTTCGGCCAAATCGAATTTTCCCATGTTTCTTAACACATCACCAAGAGAGAGAAGATTCGTTTCCTCTCTGTCGTATTCGTTCTTCATGTGATCATACAGTTGTTTGAGATCGTTGTCATGATCACTACATAATGCCATTCAAATGATCGAGATTGTTGCATCAGCTGATGATAGATCTCATTCAACCGAAAACATTGAATTCACCATAAATATCATTGATATTGCTTATCAACATGATCACTCTTTCTATGGTAGTGATAAAAGAGACATCAGTGGCAGCATAATTGATTCCTATATTGTTCTTGTCGCTCAAATCATGAGTCTTTGTCCGTGACAATAAACATTCTAATGTTGCTTCGAGATGGAAGTGTTGAGGCATCGAAGAGAGTTTTTTCTTTATTTCTAAGCTATTACATAAATATTTATAGAACAAAGGAAGTAACCCTTAGAGATTAGCTTTATTCAACTGGAACCTGTAAATAGTGAATAGAAACAAATGAATACAATGTCTACTGCATGGTTGCCTTTGGAAATTTCCCTATTGTTACTATTATATGCCGAAAATATATGAACCTTTCCCGGTTTGTAGTCGAACAAAAGGAAAAGCAATATTCCTTTACAGTATGGAAAACATAAGCACGACGTTACGCCAGTGTATTCTTCATTTTGTAATGGTGGACGCTATCGTTTTAACTTTTGGTCAAAATCCATAGGTTTTCCCCATAAAAATCTATGCTCGGTATAGTTTTTAAAGTTTTTGCCTAAATAATCGTTTCGACAATGAGAGAAATAGCTGATAGAATTATGTGACCATTCAAGTTTCGTAAACTTGCTTTCGACTATCTTGACATTGCAACCTTTTCGAGGTTTCATCTTCATTATATTAATGTAAAGTGTAAGATATCCATTATATTATACTTGGTTTCAGAGAATACTCAATCACCGGAGAAAGGGTCCACCTTAAATTATTTCTAAATTTTCAAGAAAGCGCTCTTTTTCCGATTCGTTCTTTATTTGCTAAATGATAATATCAATGTGACTATTGTTTTAATTAGCAATTTGTGTGATTTGTTTTTGTTAGAATGGTTGGGTTTTTACAGCTATTTTCAGTAACTAAAATTTATAAATTTTGTTAATGAAACGCATATTGATAATACTGAAAATTTATCAGTAGCCACGAAAGAGGCTATAAGTAAGTTCCTTCCTGTGATAAAAGCGAAATCATTCTAATTAACATCTATGAACATTTCGTGTTTAAAACAGAGGGGGAAACAATTTTTTTTTGTTTTCTTAGTTTACTTTATATCCACTTGTGTAACTTTATTTTTTCATATCTTCTTTAGAGATGCACCGTGATGTTTCATGTGAATCAAAAGAGTCCGCTAAAATGAAAACAACATTTTACAAATAATCGGATAGAGAACCATACACAGAACAGCAAAATGTTAAGCGATAGTGGCGAATAAAATCATGTAATCCTACGATGCGACATGTATGTTCATCATCTAAATGTAACATGATAAGAATAGTTAGAGTACTACAACTAGTAGTATTTCTACGAGGATAACGCAAATCTTTTTTTTTGACAGCACTTTTGAATGCGTAATTCAGTAAGTAATGTGTGCTACACCAGTATTCAACATTTCTTTCAATTAGGCGATGTACATATGACTAATATCGTAGTTCTCTTTTAGGATGCTCTATTGGATTGGATCAGATTCGCGTTCACCCA